GTACTCCCTCAAGGGATGGCTAACAGCCCAACTATGTGTCAAATTTATGTTAACAAAGTAATCCAGCCACTTAGAAATCAAAATCCTGAACTACAAATATTTCACTATATGGATGATGCATTATTAGCACACAAAGATAAAAACACATTGCTAGAATGTTATGCCACACTTACAAACTTATTAAAAAATTATAATCTAGAGATAGCAATAGATAAAGTACAATTAAATTTTCCAATTAATTATTTAGGAGTTCTATTATCCTCAACCATGGTCCGTCCACCAAAAATTCAAATACGAGTAGATCAACTCAAATCACTTAACGACTTTCAAAAGTTATTAGGAGACATAAATTGGATAAGGCCTTATCTAGGTATACCAACAGGAGAGTTGGGACCTTTATTTGATATCCTAAAAGGTCCATCAGATCCAAATTCACCCCGAATGTTAACGCCTGAAACAAGAAAGGCATTAAAAATCATTGAAACATATATGGAAAATATGCATTTGGATAGAATTAATATAAGTTTGCCTTTATTATTTATTGTACTACCAACAAAAAATATTCCTACAGGAGTATTTTGGCAAGAAGGTCCATTATTATGGATACATTTATCTTATTCTCCTAACACTATTCTTACTAGGTATCCTGAGGCTGTAGGACAATTAATACTCAAAGGAATAAAAGCAGCAAAGGGAGTGTTTGGAATTTCTCCCAATAAAATTATTATTCCATATACTATGAATCAAATTGATGAGTTAGCTAATGAGTTAAATACTTGGGCAATAATCATGTGCAAATCTAATGTTTCATTTGATAACCACTTACCATCTAATCCTTTATTGTCTTTTTGGTCATCGTATCCTGTAATTTTTCCAAAAATGACAAGAAAAACACCTATCATGAATGCTCCAAATATATTCACTGATGGATCAAATAATGGTACAGCAGCAATAGTTACACCTGATCAAACTTTTACATTTTTAGTACCCAAACAATCAGCTCAAAAGGTAGAGCTTAATGCAGTATTACAAGCTTTTGTGATGTTTAAAGATTCTGTATTTAATTTATTTTCCGATAGTCAATATATAGTTAATGCTAGAGTATCCCTTGAAGATGCTGGTAGGATTTCCCCTTCCTCTACTGTTTTCTCTTTGCTTTCCACTATACAAAGTCTAATCTGGGACAGAAAAGATCTGTTCTTTATAGGACATATCAGAGCACATATAGGATTGCCTGGAGCCCTTAGTTTGGGCAATGATTTAGCCGATAAAACTCCACATGACATACATATTTTCTCTACACTAGAAGAAGCTACAAATTTTCATAAAAAGTTCCATGTCAATGCTAATACTTTACAAAAGCGTTTTAAAATAACTAAGGAACAAGCTAGACAAATAATAAAACAATGTCAAAATTGTGTGACCTTTTTACCACAAGTTAATCTTGGAATCAATCCTAGAGGACTGATACCTAACCATATTTGGCAGATGGACGTCACACACTTGCCAGGATTTGGAAAATTAAAATATTTGCATGTTACAGTTGATACTTCTTCTGGATTTTTGATGGGCTCCCTTCATGCCGGAGAAAAAACTAAAGATATTATAGCTCATTGCTTACAAAATTTTGCCACTGTGAGCATTCCAAAACAGTTAAAAACAGATAATGCCCCTGGTTATACTTCTACCTCTTTTAAACAATTTTGCTCATCATTTGGCATTACTCATATAACAGAAATCCCATACAATCCACAGGGACAAGGCATAGTTGAAAGAGCTCATCAAACTATTAAAATGTACTTATTAAAGTAAAAAGAGGGAATTGGGATGGGGTATATATTCCCCAAAGATAAACTTAAAATAACACTTTTTACTCAAAACTTTTTAAATTTGGATTCATCAGGACTTAGTGCTGCAGAAAGGCATATGTGTCCAAAAAAAAGTACATAAGCCCAAGGTACTTTGGAAGGATATTCTAACAGGACAATGGAAAGGTCCTGACCCAGTGATTGTCTGGAGTTGGGGGTCTGTTTGTGTGTTTCCACAGGGAGAACAGCAGCCGATTTGGATTCCAGAGAAATTAACTAAAGCGATTTCTACAGACCAAAAAGAAGATGATTTGGCTCAAATCCATAATAGCTGATATCCAAAACTCCAGTTTGGCTATCCTTACATCTGCGACAGAACCAGGATGCTTTTTTCAATATCTATTTTATTATTACCCTTTCCCACATCATGAAGTTCTATTTTGTTTTTTGAGCTCATACAGACCTAGGTTAATGTTTTGCTGATCAGTTCTATTTTTTGACTATAGAGTTTTTAAACATTGCAATGGAGACTTCACCTGTAAAAAGTTATAAGGCCTTTACTATTATGTTATGTGTTGTATGTATTATATTATGTGTGCACACTTGTGTTTTATGTTGTATGTTTGTATGTACGTATGTCCATATATCATATATGATGAGCGCTCATGAAAAAATGGATCCAAATATTTTTTTATTCACGTGATTTAAATGGTTTAATTTAAATTGGGTAAACAGCTGTTGAGGATTGTTTTAATATGTGAACAAAAAAGGAGGTTAACAGATCTGTTTGTTTACTTTAGCCTTTCCTTTTCATTATATTTAATAATTCTGTTCAAGATAATGTAAATTGTTAAGAAAATTGTTTTCTTTTAGTGCCTTCTGGAATGTTACATAATTTTTTCTTTAGCCATTATTGCCAGAATTCCTATCTTCATCCCAGTGCCAGTGAGGACAAAGATAAAACCAATCTACAGCTTCTGAAATAGCCATCACTGAACTGCTTGCAGAACTTGCCTGGACTATATATCACTTGTATGCATTGTGAACTCACTTGTATGCATTGTGAACTATCTATTGGTGCAGCGACTTGTGGTAGTGTTGGGGTATTTTTGCTGATGGTGTCATCGGTGGTACAATTTTTCCAAAAGAAGCCATCAATTGGCTTGGTGTATCTTCCTCCCTTCTGCTTGTCATGGTCGTTCAGCTAAAATTTGGGGGCCAACAGAGGTGAGGCAAAGAACCTCACACACACCCCACCGCTGGTACAAAGACCTATCCACAGATGTGGCTGTATGCTGGACCGGTAGTCAGTGACGGGTAAGATCCAATTGCAATGGTACCAACCTAAGACAGGAGGCTGACGCCTCATCCGATAACGGTCAGCTCATCCGATAACAGGTAAGGACCATATGTACTATTGGACAACCTAAGGCAGGCACAGTCCCTAAGCCACATGCTTGTTGTTTAAACAGAGAGGGGGAGATGTTGAGAGCCACAGCCGAAGGGGCCCCAGCAAACTTCCAGCTCCTCTGCGGTGATGCTCATTGGGCTGTTTCCCGGCCCTTTCAGACCACGGAGCTGCTCATTGGGGGACTTTTTTTGGCTCCACCTACATGACCCAGCCAATCGACCTCAAGAGCAGGAGGAGTGGGGGAGGTTGAGAGGCTTGTGGGAAGCCAGTGGTGGCAGTTGGGTTCTGAGGGTTTTTCCTGAGGAGCTGTGTGGTGTGGTGTGTGTGTTCTAAAAATAAAATTCGTTTCTTTTGACAAGTGGCTCCTGAATTGTGCCCAGCCAGACTGCGGCACTGGAGACCATTTTTCATTCCTCCAATTGGTAATCATGCCAGGTTTGGATGCAGAAAATTATGGAGACGTCATTTCCCACTAATACTTTTGAGGATGAGCTCCCCTCTGAACAACAAAATTAAATAAAGAAAAGAAACCAGAACTTAGGTGTCTGCACCAAGGAACTGTCTCTTTGGCTAGAGAATGTCTCTCCCCTGTTGGAGCCTCTCTCACCCAGCAGTTTCCACCCATCCTTCCATGCATGACTTCTGGATTTAATTGCTATTTTACCAGTGTGGTCACGACCCCTGTGCTTTTTCATAGGCGGCCATGAAAAAAAACTCAAGACTTCAGATTATTCACCCTTGTCATGTGACTTGTAACCCTGGTAGTTTTTATTACAAGTCTTTCTTGTAATGAGTTTTGATCTGTCTGCATTGAGGCTATCATTAGTTAATGAACTTTTTTTTTTAAGGGGGGGTGGATTCTGCCTCACTTAGAATAAAGGATCAAAGTTGAATCTGATTTATATTTTAGGTGCAATTTGGGGTTTTATTAACATAACAAAGGCTAAACTATAGAATGGTCTTAAAATTTATATTTCCCTTTGATGGCCATGATTCTCTATCAGAGTTTGTATTGAGACCATGATTGACAGCAGAAAAACATTAGTGATAAAGGCTGGAATAAAGAGATAACACTCCCTGGGGACAAAAGGAATGTCCAGAGAGAGACATCTAGTGGTTGTTAAACATTTAACTCCCTTTTCCCCGGAGGAATCTAGACAAAGGTGAATTGAAAAGGGTGTGGATATAAATCTTCCTATTTCAAGTCAAAGAAGCTAGCAGAGCACACAGGAGTACAGAACAACAATTTGGGGAGAATCCCTACAGGCTTGTACCGGCTTAATATGTGAACTAAGGGAACCCAAGTATTTCCTTATGAACCACTCCATGTAAAATGTCCCTTTTTGAACAGCTAGAGTCTGATCAGTAAGGGGAGGGGTGTGCTTGGGAGGAGGAAGCACACGAGAGTGCAGTACCGGAGGTGTATGTGTTACTGGAGCATTCACTCAGCAATGCTTGATTATTGTCCGATAGAAAGAAAGAGACAAAAACACGCACCTTAAAAAAGATGTGAGGTATGAAGGAGCTTACCTTGGTGATTGTTGGGTGTGTGGGAGACTCCCCATTGAAGTTAAGTTTCTGTCTAGGGAGAACATCACTCCTCTCAGAAGAGCGCCAAATTCAAAGGTTTTCCCAACCAATCCCTGGAGGGCACAGTGTTCACTTGCTGTTCCTGAGTCACCTGGCCAATCAGCACACGCCAAGTCGCCTATGCAACCCTTCTTAATCCGAAGCTTGCAAGCTCACGCTCTCTGCCCTCTTCCTCTTCTTTCTCTCCTCTCTCTGCTCTCTTCTCTTTCTCTCTGCTCTCCTCCTCTCCTTTTCTTCCCCTTCAGGCAGCCCCCCAATAAAATTTCTTGGTTGAATCTCCCTCTCGGGTGAGTCACTTGCCTTTCAGTGATGACACCAGTCTTGAAAATCAGGACTGGGTTCTTGTTCCCCTGGTGTTGAAGTTAAATACCCGAGATTCACAGAGGTAAGAGCAAAAAGTAAATTTTATGTTCAAAACCGAAAAGAGAGAGCTCTCTCTGAGTCCTCTCCTCCGGAGAAGAGAGGACCCAGAGCTGGTGCCCATAGGTATGGAGGTGTCTAGCCTCTTTATAGATTTTAGGTTTCCTTTCTTCTCATGCCTAGCTGTCCAGGGGGGTAATCGCTTGTGTTGGAAAGTGCAATTCTTTCCCTTTCCTGGAGGTGTTAGCAACCAATTGATGGGAAAGTGCTATCTACCCATTTCCTTCCCTTTGATTATCAGCTACCTGTCCTTTGCCCAGGTCTCACTGCTATGAAAAGGGTGTACAAATATTTCTTCAAGACCCTCCTTTCAATTGTTTCGAGTATACATCCAGAAGTGGAATCGCTGGATCACATATTCATTCTGTTTTTAACTTTTCGAGGACTGCCATAACTCTGCTCTAATCTTTATTATTTCCTTTCTTCTGTCAGTGTTAGGATTAATTGGTTCTTCTTTTTCTAGTTCTCTTTCTAATGTGTTTATACCTCTAAATATCCCCCCTGAGCACTGTTTTTGCTGTGTCCCATAAATACTCCTATATAGTGTCCTCACTTTCATTCACCAAAGGTTTTTCTGATTGCTCTTATGGTTTCTTCTTTGGTTCACTGATTGTTTAGCTTCCACAAATCTAGTTTTCCTTGTTACTGATTTTTAGTTTTATCCCATTGTCACCCACAGGAATTTGGAACGGGTTCGTGTTCCATGGAGTCCAAGAATGAACACCATGAACGCCAAGGTAAGCAAGTAAGCAGGGACTTGACTGATAGGAAGGTGAAAGGAAGACTCAGAACTCCTGAAAGCAGTTGGGAGGAACCAGAGAGCCATTTAAGTCCTGCAGTATTCCTTCTTTCGAACACACATTGGAAAAATTGATAAACTCCTCCTGATTGGTTCTTCACTGTTAACTAGGGATGTGCCCTTTGTTAATCGGTTCTTGATATTTCAGTTGTCCTGGGGTCGGGGGCATGCTGGATTACACAGTCCCTCTCCTCCAGATGGAAATTTACACCCTTAGAGAAACAGGAACGGTGTTATTATACGCTGGGGGCATGTTCACAGCTGCTCTGTGCTTGTCCTCTTGTCCATCTTTACTGTCTCTTCGCTACTCTTGACTGCCTATCCTTTTCTACCTCACCACTATGGTCAGAGAACATCCATTATAGACTTATATTATTAAATATATTGAAACTTACCATGTGGTCCAACCTGGAAAATGCCCCATGTGCACTTGAGAAAAATATGTATATTTTTGCTTTGGGGTTGAGCATGCTGGGTGGGGCGGGGGCCAGCACACAAGTTAGATCTGATGAATTTGTTGTGTTGCTCAAGTCCTCTACTTCCTTACTTATTTTCTGTCTGGCTGTTCATTATTGAACTTTCCAACTATTCTCATTGAATTATTTACTCTCAATTCTGTCAATTTTTGCTGCACATATTTTGATAGCCTGTCATTAGGTGCATAAACATTAATAATCATTTTATCTCTTGTATTGAAACTTTCACTAATTTACAATATCCCTCTTGGTCTTTTTTAAATTTACTTTTATTTTTGGCACTGGGAATTAAACACAGTACTTCTTTTTATTTTGAGACAGAGTCTCACTAGTTACCAACACTGGCCTGAAACTTGTGATCCTCCTATCTCAGCTTCCCAAATCACTGGGATTACAGGTCACATCTAGCTTTTTGTTTTTTAAGTCTGCTTTATCTGATATTGCTATAGCCACCCCTGCTCTCTTATGTTTACTACTTTGATGGAATATCCTTTTTCATCCTTTCATTTTCAACCAACATGTGTCTTTGGATCTAAAATGAGTCCCTTATAGACAGCATATAGTTGGATCATTTTTTTTCCCTTCTACAATGGAAGAGTTTAATCCATTTACATTAAAAGTAGCTGATAAGGAGAGGCTTCTCTCACTTTCCTCTTTGTTTTCTATATGCTGCATCACATTTTTATGTCTCAATTCCTACATTACTTCTTTTGTGTTTGATTTTTTAAGTGAAATATTTGAACTCCCTTTACATTTCCTTTTTTGTATATATTTAGCTATTTTTGTGGTTACCATGGAGATTACATTAGCATCCTAAAATTATAACACTCTGATTTGAATTTACACTACATTCACTTCAGTAACAACAACAACAAAAAAAAAAAAAAACACTGTTCCTTTTGTTAGAGTAGGTACATAGAAAGACATGAGTAGGAGGATGAAGGACTCACTCCCTCTTGAGTGACAAACTATCACTCCTTCTTGGGTGACAGAAAACTCCACCCATAGCTACCTCCTTCAGATACTACCTTCTTCAAACTAAAGAAACCCCATGTTTCAGCTTAAGGAACCTTCCATCTTTGGAGCACGCTCAGAACACTGATGCACTGTTAAAATTTGTATCTAAACAGATTTTAAATTCTAAAACAAAAAAAAAATAGAACCCTGCTTATTTCACTCTCTTCAAGCCACATCTACACATAAGCATCACCATCTTTTCAGTCTGCACATAATCTAGGTGAAATCTAAGTGATATTTGCCAGGAGCAGGTGAAATATGCATGTGATGCCTTTGGTAAGGGTTTTAGATAAGCTGACAGTGTCTTCTGAATCCAAAATTCAGACACAGGGCCTGACAAGATTTGAAAAGGATCATATGAAAACTAGACTGCATTATAAATTTAATGCATTACCTTACTGAAAAATATTTAATCAAGACTGTCCTCCGAAAATTAAGCCACATGGTAACTCACATACATACTGAAACAGTGGAGAGAAAATGGCGTGACCATTGAATGAGTTATTCTCAACTTTAATTCTTTACATGTTTTAATTATGACAACATTTTTTAAAATGTCCTACAATGAGATCAGTTCATTTTTCTTTACATTTAATGTAAATATCAACTTTGATCCCCTATCAACATCAGACAAGGGCATACTTCATAGGTTTCATAATCAGATTTTAAAATAATCTCATGTAATAAAAATAAATCAAAATAATAAATAAAATATTAAAAAATACAAATATACAGTAGAAAATACAAAATGTAATTTATTCATCCTAATTAGCAAATGATTAGCTCCAAAGACATAATTTTAACCTTGTGGCTTAAAACAATTTCATTTTTTGCCTGTTACTCTTTCTGATCATATATTAAAGTATCTTCTGCATTTTATCTGTATTTAATTGATCATTTTTTTTGTACATTTGTTTTCTTGAGAATCATATTTTTTTCTTCATGCTGATTGAAGCTCTGTAATATAAAATGTCATTCATATATTTGAGTAATATCGATCCCGGTTTTGAAAGTCTCTATGAGCATATCTTGCATATTTCTCATTATGTGGGATCCTTCCAAAAGGTTCATGGTCATTGAAGCAAGATTCAAAAACTTCATCAACAGCCTTCTCAGCTACTTCTTTGCTGATATTCCTAACAGCCAGGATAGAAAGAATTGCTCTGTCTCGCACACAAGTCTAAGGAAAAAGAAAAGTATGTGGCCTTCATTTTATGTGAAATTTAATCATGAAATATCAACTTATATAATGTCTGAACCACAATTAAAATTAATTTACTCACATATTACTTTATTAATTTGTCATTCAAAAGAAGAAAACACAGAAATGTAATTCAAATTATGGAAAATGTTTAGCCCGACTTAAAATCTTCTAGGCATAAGACAGACCTTGATGTTCTCATGTTTTCCAATAATATAAGCAGATGTCATTCTCTGAAGTTTTAGGCAACGTGTGCTAAATGGTAATTCCCAATTTTCAAAATCACACACATAAAAAAAAATGTCTACAAGCAAGGTCCTAATTGATTTCCATAAAATTTAATTACATTTAAAATATACTTCACATCTTCACCTCTCTTCCTTCTCAGTTGACCAATGCTAGCTAACTTTTCCTTCAAGAAGGGCACTCTCTTCCCTGGCTGCAATAGAAAATCACACACATATATATCCAAACTTGGAAAGTGCCTTAATTTTTAGACAGAAACAAAAATTAAACAAAACATTTTTTCCCTGACTGTTCTTTGCATAAGTATTAAAGTTCTAGTCCCAAGAAAATAATTTACCTAATGTTACACAGTAAGTGACTGGAATTTTTCAACCTTCTAACTTAAATATTTTAAGAAATATAAGAGCCTGCTGTTCCAGTTCTTGGAGAGCTTTTAATTCACCTTTTTCTACTCCAGTCCAAAACTAAAAGAATAGCTTTGGATCATTTCCTAAAAAAATAATCAAAACATGATTTGATGGCTGTGCATCATGACAATCACCAATTTTCTCTGTGTTTTCCCAGTTCTAATTTAACTTGGTCTACATGCTTAAACTGGAATTAGCACTGGAATATAAACCAGTGCTTCTCAACCCAAGTTACACCAAACACTGATTTGTTTGTTTGTTTTTGTTATTGATGATGTTTTGGTGTTACTGGGGATTGAACTGAGAGACACTTTACTAGTGAACTACATCCCCAGCCCTTTTTATTTTTTATACTGAGACAGTGTCTCACTAAGTTGCCCAGGCTGGCTTCAAACTTGGAATCCTTTTGCCTCAACCTCTCAAGTAGTTAGGATTACAGGCCTGTGCCACTGCATCCAGCAAACGCTGATTTTAAAAATAAGTTAGCATAAAAGAACAAGAAAACAAACAAACCATATGAAGCCACAACAGCAATTGCCAGAGAGAGGAAATTTCTCTTTCTAGAGGAAAAAAAAAAGAACTAAAAATCTGACTCCTTCCAGGCATGGTGGTGCACGCCTGTAATCCCAGCAGCTTGGGAGGCTGAGGGAGGAGGATTCAGGAGTAGAATGCCAGCCTGAGCAATGGCAAGGTGCTAAGCAACTCAGTGAGACCCTGTCTCTAAATAAAATACAAATACGGCAAGGATGCAGCTCAGTTATCAAGTGCCCCTGAGTTCAATCCCCAGAACCAAAAGAAAAAAAAAAAAATCTGTCTCCTGAAGCCAAATGGTTGGAAGACACAAATGTAAACCACAATTTAGCTTTACTTCTTTCTACATGTAATAAATTTCTATCAAAATAAAAGTATAACTGTGCAATCTTACAGTCAGTTACAGGACCTACTGTTTCCATTTCTTGGGTTCAGAAGCAGAGATTCCATTCTCCCTCAACCAGGGTCTACTACTTCCACTTGTCTCCCAACCTGTTGCTAGTTTTACTTATTTTCTGTTTATTTTCTTTTATTCAATGGTAAAAAGTGGGAGAGACTTCTCTTTCAAAGACCGTGGACCCAGAGCTCATGCTTTAATCACATTATCTTCTTATTAGTTCTAGGATATGCTAATGTACACCCTGCTTCCATTCTCTCCACTGACAGTGACACAGAGAATTTGCCAGGGAAGTGGGTAAGAGACATGTGGTGCATGACCAGTTAGTAGGTACACTGGGTTGACTTGGCACTGACTGGAAGCCTAATGGTCCAATCAATCCATTCAGAATAACTGCTCTCTCCAAGCATCAGGCTTGTCTTCCAGCTCACTGAGTTCACAATTTCTATTAATAATTCGCCATGACTTTCCACCCCTCCACCCCAGAGTTGAGTTGCTCTTTCCTCTGGAAACCAAAAGCCTCTCTGTCATTTCAAGCCTATCCTCCTTATATCTGGTTGAAACTGCTATCCTGATGAGTCTAACTTCACAAATCAGCCCAACAAGCTCTTCTCACAGAAAACCTCTAACCAGTCTTTCTCCCCAGCATGGACACAGCCTTGAGAGCTGTGGGCAGAACTTCTCACCTCCATTATCAATCCTTGAGCTCTATACTGCCTCGTCACACGATTTTAAAAATAGACTTTCCCTAGATCCCCTATCATGACATTTCTCCAGGGCCTTGACTTAACTATCAGGGGCACTGATCCTTACCCATGCAGTCTGTTCTGAAAGGAATTACAATTTGTCTCCAGAATACTGTGTTAGCTTCCAAATGTAAGTGCAGGACTTTAGAATGAAAGACAGGCTGTGGTTTCCTTCTATTCTTCATCTACCCCCATCCAAAAGTATCCTAGAGGCAAAAGCAAAGCCCTTTTCACTACCAATATCTCCTAGACACATAGTTTGTCTGTAATTGTAAAGCAGAAGTAAATTCCATCTACTCAGTTAAATGGGCTTTTCAATAAGGAGTTCTTTCAAATTTCAAATACTAAATGTACTTCATTTTTTCATTCATTATTTCCAATCCTAATACTCTTGAGGGTAGGTGATTTCATGTTAGTTTTTACCTGATGGTGTTGTTTTAATCCAAACCGTAACCTGAATATTTCATTTACAAGTGAACAGTCCCCACTAAGGTTAGCAGCTCGAACCTATCACAAAGAAAAAAGGCAAACAAAAAGAAAATAAATGCTCATGCCCTGTGTTTTTATGATAGCAAACAATTTTTTAAAACTGAGAAAGAATATAAAATTAGCATGTTTTTCTAGGAATAGAGTTAAATCTTTCTTTTAAAGAATTTTCTTTATTAACAACAAAAGCACACATTTGTGTCCTATAGTAGACAACACCAAATACACTGAGGTTGGAGAAAAGTTCATTCGCTTACCAAAGGGAATTTTCTAAATTTTACCCCATAGCCTTAAGACAAAACTAATTTTTTTAAACCAAAAGTCAAAGAGTTGGACCTCAAAGTTAAAGTCCATATCTCTACAAGATATAAGCACTTCTAGAAACTACCAAAAGGACTTCAAGAGAGTATTTTGATCTACGAACCAAATTGCAAAGTGAGCTCAAAACTGGACACACTGGTATCTAAGACACTTTGGGCATAGGACTCCTCCCAGCCCCAGTCCACATGGGGGAAAACTCTCTTAGACTTTCCCTAGATCCCCTATCATGACATTTCTCCAGGGCCTTGACTTAACTACGAAAGATTAATACAAAGAATTTAAAACATTCTTTATACAAAGAACCAAGAACATTCAAAAGCAGTCATGCTATGAAAATGACAGACTGCAGTTAGAACATATTTTCTAATTTGCTACATTTCAATAGATTTTTTTTTAAAAGTCTTGGAACTACCCACATAGGTTCCACACCCTCTGGCAACATTTTTGCTAATTCATTGCAAAGAGAATGGCTTCATTCCCCAAGGAGCTTAACACACTTAACTAGCTAATAGGCATTAAATGCCCAAGATAGAGAGCTATTTAAAAACTCAGGTTTCAATCTACTCTCCAAATAATATGAATTATATATAATTAGATGCAGTGGAGTCACTTATTAATTTCATGGGAAAGAAAAATAATCTAAGTTGTAAAGTGTAAACTTGAGATTTATATGAGTTTTTTTTTTAATTTTTCATTGCAATGCTCTCTTCAGTTAATAAAATAGCAGTATGGAATACACATCTCTCTAGGAACATATGTGTGTATACATGTGAAAGGAATCCAAAGTGCTTATGAATAAATATATTTTATGTTAGACTAAATGTTTTATTCTAGGTCAAGCAAGGACTTTACCTATGGAAGACAACACGGCAAACTAATTAAGAACCCTGGTTGAAACCCTGCCTCTGCCACTTCCTAACCACGAATCTAAACAAATGCTTCATTTCCACTTATGTAAAGCAAGGATAATAAGAATATCTTCCTTGATAGGTTGTTGCAAAGATTAAATAAGAATCCATTCAAACAGACTAGTGTTTGGCATGTAGCCCTCAGTAAATGTTAAATATTATATTTTTTTAATGTTATATAACTTATTCCATAGGAAAAAATGGTTTATTGTTATAATTAAAGTCAGTCATCATTATTATTGGGCCTTAAAAGTTATATTTAATACCACTTTAAAATATACTTAAAATTTTTCTAGTTGTACCTCAAAAATTATAGTTATTAGTTAAATATAGATTATATGTATATTCTATATATAAATATAGAAATTCAAGACTAAAGTAGAACTGTGACAATAAGAAAAGCAGTAAGTTTAAGCAAATTATACTGAATAAAATGTAAAGCACAGAGTATTCTGGGGAAAAAATGTGTCTTCTTCAGTGAAACTCACCTCTGAGCAGGCCAAATGCCTGACATTAGTGAACCAGTGGACATGAGCACGACAATGATCAAATGCGTGAATGAGCTCGTGGGTGACCACTCTGCTCATGTGGGCCTGGTTACGGATGTTATTCTGGCACAAAACAATCTAGAAGACACCAAAATAAAAGAAGTTCACGTATTTCTAAAATCTGCTTTCGTTCCACAGATTCTACCTTACCTCCCACATGATCCTGTGAACTCACCTGCTTGGAATGCCTCTGGCTACTCTTCTTCACCAACCCCACACCTGCTCCTTGTCAAGTCCCAGTCCTCAACGTGCATGCTCTATTAGCCTTCCCTATAACTATTTTCTCCCTTCTCCTTTCTCAGGATCACAATGGCACTTGGGTCAAGGACATTTATTCCCGTAAGAGTCCTCACTGAGCTATCTTGTATTTCATAGCTCTGTGGTTACGACTGGACTTTGGAATGAAAGAGACAGATTCAAATTCCAACTCCAGTCCTTGCTAACTTGGTAAACTGGGGCAAATTTACTCAACTATAAAAAGGAGGTCATTACAGTACCTGCCTCATTGAATTGTGAGAATTAAACAAGAATATATCTAAAATAGTTTTAGCACATTTCTGAACAATAAATGAACACCGTTGTCCTCATTCTATTAGAATAAGAAAAAAATGCCAGGAAAAATTCCCAAAAAGATCTTCACAAATAGCACGCTGAGCAGGACTCTGTAAGAATAAGACACAAGAGAGCCAATAATGACACACCATTTATTGTGCACTTCCTAAATACTAGACACTAGTATATGTACCAGAAATTTTATATATTCATTTAAAATTTATTTATTCAATTTATTTATTAAGACCTAATAGTAGGGGCTGGGGATGTGGCTCAAGCAGTAGCGCGCTCGCCTGACATGCGTGCGGCCTGGGTTCGATCCTCAGCACCACATACAAACAAAGATGTTGTGTCTGCCAAAAACTAAAAAATAAATATTAAAATTCTCTCTCTCTCACTCTCTCTTTAAAAAAAAATAAATCTTTAAAAAAAAAAAAGACCTAATAGTAGATTCGCAGTCTACTAATACACAGAAATTAATAAATACCAAAATGTTTAAAAACATGAATGACAATTTGTCATCAAGAAAAACTCAGGTTGTTCTGAGAACATACAGTAAGAAAGAACATACGGTGATCTAGTCTGTTTAAAGGCACAGAATACTTGAAAACTGAAAGCAGGGCAAAGAGCTGAAGCCCAGAGTCTGGCATGGCAGGCCTGAGATGAGGCTGGTGAGGAAGGCAGAGATCAAAAGACTTCCCTGTCTTATCTTGAGAACAATGGGAAGCCACTGAGGGGGAGAGCTGACATAGACCACTGCTTTTGTTTTATGTTGTTTTTATCCTTTTTACTATACTTGGATGAAGCAGCAGAAGATGACAAAACTGGATGCAGAGAAATTACTTCTAGGCTAATGAAATATTCTAGGCAAGAGTCAGAGAATGGGGTACTTGAGTTAGAATGGTAAGACTAAAAGAGGAATTTAGGAGGCAAACTGGACAAAATTTGGTGATGGGTAGAAGATGAGGAAGGAATAAAAAGTATCCATATATTTCTGGCTTAAGTAATAAGATGGATGGTAGAACCATTCACTGAAATATGAAAAGCTAAAAGACCAAACAAATGAAATATGCAAAATTTTAAAAATTAGGTTGGTTGGTGACAAAGAATGCAAAAATCATGAATTTGGACTTGGACATGTCAGGTCTAATTTGCCTTTAAGACATCCAAGGAGAGGTGTTCAATGGGCACTTAGATACATGAATGTGGAGTTCAAAAGAGATTTTAACCTAGAAAAATTAATGAGATACCGTTGGCAGAATACAGAGTAAGAAAAAGTAAGTACACAAAGGATAAAAGGACTTCAATAGTTAATGACTAGAAGAAGAGTTTCGTATCAAAGGAGTAACCAAAGAGTATTATGTATATGAAACCCTGAGAAGAAAGTATTTGACATGACCAGCTAAAGTCCAGTGTATATATATTCCAAGACCCATAAATTCTGCTCTAAGGCTTGTATCTTGGAGAAACTCTTGCAGATGTGCATTAGGACAGAAGGTAAAAATGTTCATAGCAGCATCATTCATAACAACAAAACTGGAAACAATATTAGGAGAAACTGTAACACTCACACAGTGGAATACTATATAAAAGTGACTTAAAACTAACATTGAAACACTAAATGCTCACTATGGGCCACGCACCATGATAAGCAACTTTACTAGAGATATTTAATTCTCAAAATCATTCTATAAGATAGATATAATAATTACCCATATTTTACAGATAATAAAATAAACCAGAGAGGTTTATTTAGCATGGAAGAATCTCACAATGTTAAACTAAAGGATTGATTTACAGAAGACAATCTACTGTAAGATTTCATAAAGCTGGGTGTGGTGGCACATGTCTTAAATCCCAGCAACTCGGAAGGCTGAGGCAAGAGGACCACAAGTTCCTTACCCTGAGTTTTGAAAATCACTATTTTTCTGAGTGTTTTACCATGTACATATACCATCTCAGCAACTTACCCAAAATCTGTTTCAAAAATCAAAGTGCCAGGGGTGTAGCCTTGGTAGTAAGAACACCCCTGGTTTCAAACACCAGTACTGGGGGGAAAAAAAAAAACTACAAAGTATTACATAGAACTCAAAGCATTCTAGATACAAAGCAAAAAAGCAGCATCTAGAACAGTACATTTCTAATCTGTATATGTACATGGTAAAACACTCAGAAAAGTAATGATTTCCAAAACTCAGGGTAAGGAATAAAGGGATGTGGTTAAAGATGAGCACACAGGCTTCTAAAATCCTGGTGATGTCCCGCTTCTCAAATCTGGGTTGCAGTTGTACAGCTGTTTCTTTTATTAATGAAAGTGGACATACAGGTTTTTTACTCTTCTGTATGAATGAAAAACTTAATTTAAAAAACAAAAAGGGAAGCCGGGTGTGGCAGCCTGTGCCTATAATCCCCAGTGGCTGGGGAGGCTGAGGCAGGAGGGTCGCAAGTTCAAAGCCATCCTCAGCAATTTAGTGAGGTCCTAAGCAACTTAGTGAGACCTGCCTCAAAATTTAAAAATAAAAAGGGCTGGGGATGTTGCTCAGTGGTTAAGTACCCCTGGGTTCAACCCCTGGTACAAAAAAAAAAAAAAAGTTAATGTGAAAGTTCAAAAGGTCCACACTATTTAACCCCCAGAGTGAAGCAACAGATGAACTCACCAAGAGCCATTTTGAAACTTGTCAGTATTGTGAATACCAAATTACAAATGAGAAAACTGAGAATAAGAAAAAACTTGCCCAAGAACAATAAAAATAACTTGCCAAAACCCAAAATTCTCACCCTTGAACTATTCTGCCTTTTCCCACGATTACTATACAACAATTACAAATAACCAAAATACATATGAAATTCACCAGCAAAACAGTTAAGTGTAGTTAAATGAGGATTACAGATACAATTGGAAATAGTTACTTTTATAACACCTTTACCTACAATCATCACATGACATAACCCATTTACCACCTTCAAGACTCTGTCAAAACTCTTCAAGGACTTAAAACTAACAATGAAACATTAAATACTCACTATGGGCCAGGCACCATGAAAAGCAACTTTAAGAAAACTTACTTCGGATCAGAAACTTCCATAGGTAGTTATCACTTCTCACCATGTTAAGGTGTAACCCTTTTACTTAGCTCACCATTCTTTCCAATTCTATTTCCCCTTTCTCCCCACGCCCACGTTCCGGCCTTCCACCTAAACTAGTCCACATGCCATTGCCCAACATGCCTGCTGATTTCACAGCACACCACTTATGCTCAGGCTACTACGACTCTGAGTCTTTGCCCCTGAAGAAGCTTTATATCCTGTAACAATCCCTTGGTATTTTTCAGCCAATCACATCACTTTCCATTGTGGTACCAAGTACTGCAGCCTGGATCTGAAATGTCCCTCAAGGGCCCACGTGTTGAAGGTTTGGTTCTAACCTGATGTACTATTGGGAGGTGGTGGAACCTTTAGGATATGGGGCATGGGGGAAAGAAGTTAAGTCTTTGTGACTGTGCACCTGAACAGGATATTGGGATCCTGACCCTTCACTGTCTCTCTTTCTTACTTCCACTCCACCATGAGATGAGCATTTTCCTGTCATGCACTCTTGCCATCATGTACTGCCTTGCCTTGCCATAAATCCAAAGGTATGGGGAGCCAAGCAAGTATGGACTAAAACTTCTGAAACTGTGAACCAAATAACCCTTTCCTTCTTATAAGATGATCGTCTCAGGTATTTATCATAGTGATGGAAAGCTGACTAACACAGCAGGCCTACCTGAAATAGTTGAATCTGCCTAAAATTTTATAATCATCTCTTTGTGTCTTATCTCTTCTGAGAGAATATAAGCTCCTTAAGAGGAAGGACCATGACTTAAACTTTTTTTAAAAACCTACACAAAATCTATGAAACAGAATATCCAGAATGTAGAAAGTGCTCAGAAAAATATCATAAGAAAGGATTAAAGGAGAGAAAACAAAGATACCAACCTGAGATGTTGAAGCATCAAAACCTCCACTAACATTTCCATTACAATCTTCACAAGAAAAGTGTCTTTCTTTGTTTACAGCACTAAAAGGCAAGAACAGATAAAAGAGAAGTTTATATGTGGGAAATAGCCCTGGACCAGAAGTTTGGAGAAACCTCCAAAATACAGGAAATCCCCTCTGCTACCAACAGATGTGAAACCTTGGGAAAGCAATTTAATACCTACAGAACTCAATTTTCTCACCTGTAAAATAGGGAGATTATCTCTGCCAAACTGATCCTCATTCAAATTCTATGTGATTCCATAAAGCATTTGGTTGACTGAATTGGATAGTGTGATACGTGATGTATTTCCTATTTTAATATAAAATATTATAATATAAAATAAAGAAAGTAAACCTTTTCACTTTAAAAAAAAAAAAAAAAGACTATTGGAAATATGCTGAAGTTCCTGCCTTTGGTTGGAATGTTAAGTGGAAGTCAGAAGTTACTTCTTCTAATCCCCTCAAAGTTAAACCTATAAAAGACTCCTACATAACACTCTGAACACTCTGTCCTCCATTAAGGACAATGCCTAGGCTGGTGGAATGAAAAGGCCAGAAAGATTACTAACAAGAAAGATTTGGCTGGGTGTGGTGGCACACTCCTGTAATCCCAGCAGCTTGGGAAGCTGAGATAGGAGGATCACAAATTCAAACCAGCCTCAGCAACTCAGCAAGATTCTGTCTCTAAATAACAAATATTTAAAAAGGGTTGGGGATGTGGCTCATAATTGAACATCTCTGGGTTCAATCCTTAGTACCAAAGAAAGAATGAAAGATTTGAACGTTGTATTTACTAAATCTCCAAGGTGAATAATAGAGCCAGAGACTGAGTTAGGTTAAAAAAACAGCTGAAGAGCCAGGCTTGCTTTGAGAGAATACGGCAATCACTATCCATGAAAAAGTGATCTGACTTCATGATCTGAAGTCAGAAATCTGAAGTAGCTCAAAGCTTTTCGGGTTTTTTTATTTTGGCAGTCAGAATATAGAATAGCACTTTTAAAAGATTTAATTACCCAGGCACAGTGGTACATGTCTATAATCCCAGCTACTTGGGAAGCTGAGGCAAGAGGATCATGAGTTTGAGGACAACCTGGATGACAACTTGGACAACACAGTAAAACCTAGTCTCAAAATCTTTAAAAATTTTTTTAAAGTAAACAAGAATTACTTACCAACCGGAGCGCTTCATGGCATCAAGTAGAAGTTTGACATATGGATCTAAAAAGATATTGGTTCAATTAAGTATGCTAATTGGAAAAGTAGCACCAATTAAATTATCCAAATAGAAATAGATTATCAAAAAGTAATTCACAGGGCTGGGGCTGGGGCTCAGTGGTAGAGCAGTTGCCTCGCATGTGTGAAGCACTGGGTTCGATTCTCAGCACCACATAAAAATAAATAAATAAAATAAAGGTCTGACAATGATTAAAAAATATTTTTAAAAAAAAAAGTAATTCACAAATCACAAGGAAATCATACCATCTGAAAATTGGCAAAAAAATGAGCATAGGAATGTGAACTTAAATTAACTTCAAAGCAAACTTTTAATTAAATAAAACACTAATACAAACATGAAGGTGGTACCACCAAGCATCTTAAACAGTGTCAAAAGTCATTTGTAGGCCAGGCATGGTGGCGCACACATGTAATCCCAGCAGCTCGGGAGGTGGAGGCAGGAGGATCGCAGGTTCAAAGCTAGCCTCAGTAATTTAGTGAGGCACTAAGCAACTCAGTGAAACCCTGTCTCTAATAAAATACAAACTAGGGCTAGGGATATGGCTCAGTGGTCGAATGCCCCTGAGTTAATCCCTGGTACCAAAAAAAAAAAAAAAAGTCATTTTCCATTAAATGATCAAACATTTAGAATTACAGTGTATACCAAAAGAATGGAGGAATCTTAAGCCACATTCATAGAAAGAATCAATTGCATAATTTCCAGATATGAAGAATGACATAGCTACACTATTTCTGTGCTGACCAGACAGCACTGGTAACTCAGGTCCCATTCCAAGTTCCACACTCCAAATGGGACTCACCAGTTGAAGCTCTCCCATGGGGGAAGGCAACTAAAATAGTGGGGGGCTGTGCTTGCCAAGAATCACTAAAGGATTTGAGGGTTTGGAAAAAGAAAAAAAGAGTTAATTAGGACCACAAGAGGTTCAAGTATTGAAAGGGTGTCATGTGGAGATGATTCAGTCAATATGCTTCAAAAAGTGGCATGAGGACCAAAGTCACATGTGACAGATTTCAACTCATGAGAAAGGATTTTTCCAACAATTAAAGTTGGAAACAACAGACAAATAGCCTGAGAGTGCCCCCCAAAACAGGTAACCTGTTCCAGGAGAGATATATAGATATCTGGACAGTGATGGCACGGAGGTTTTCCTATATGGGGGTGGGAATCCTAAATGATTCCTGAGGGCCTGTCCACTTTTAAGACTTGAGCCTGTGACTACTCCTGGAAAATACAATGAACCCAGATGCCTCTAATATACACTTTGCAAGCACGTATCTTGTCTGAGTATAAATGTACAGGAAGACTGGGGGGGGAGGCGGAGTAAAAATGTTTAATGCAAAAATAGGTGAGTAAAAGTAGCAAGGTATAGCTTACTGCTTTACTAACTTGGTTCTTCTCAGTGTTAACAGAAATATTACTACTAATAATAAGTATTACTAAATAAGTATATACCAGATGCCAGGCATCATATTTAAGTGATTATTCAAGCAACTAAGGGCTTTCTCTTTGGAAGGCTGAGGTGCACGGAATCATGGTCAGCACCCCAACTTCCTCACATCCTATCCCAAATTGTCCTCCACTATTTGGCTCTTCTGCTGTAAGAAAGCTACCCTTTATTCAGCTCCTGATATGCTGGCACTTTACCTTCTTCAAATCTATTCCTCACAACCCTAAAAGAGGTGTGATTATCTGTTCATCCCTTTTGGTTTTTTTATTTTGTTTTGTTTTGTTACGGATAAGACAGGTTAAGTCACTCTTCCATACAAACTAAAAAGAAAGACCAGAATTTGAACTCATATTTAACTTTACTGCCCAGGTTCTTTCCACTATATTCCACTTGTAAATGCCTTAAAGGTAGGGAACTTACTCGTCTTTGTATTTCTTCCCACACATCCTAGGAAGCATTCAGTTCACATTTATAAAGTAAATATAATGTCATTATCATTCCCTTCCTTTCATCCTCCCATCTCCTTTGATTCACTATATGCAAGTAATCCAAAGGCTGGAAAATCTTTGGGAAGTCTACTTTTGACTGGCCAGCTGTTTAACAGTAACCTTGCTATAGGACAAGTATGTTTAAAACTTTACTAAACCTATCTTAAGTAGACTTAGGAAGTCTATTTCAATGCAAAGGAGTTAAGAAATCTTCTCTAGTGCAATATCTCTGGGACTGAGAGACATGCCTCAGTGGGTCTCCCTATTTAATCCACAGCAGTAGTTCTTAATCTTTTTGAATCCATGAGCCTCTTTGAGAATGTAATGAAACTATGAACTTTCTCCCCAAAAAACTTCATGTAGGTGTATATACACACAATTTTTCAAGGTTTCTATGCGTGGTAGCCCACCAATGCATGAAGTTAAGAAACCCTCACAATGAAGAGCAGGTTTGCAAAACTAGTTTTGCACTGCCAACAATAATCTGTATACAGGGTAAAAATGGGAGTTCATAACCCACTTGAATCAAATGTATGAAATATGATATGTCAAGAACTTTGTAATGTTTTGAACAACCAATAATAAAAAAAAATTTTTTTTAAAAAAAGAATGCCTTAATTAACGGGGCTCTTTTAAACCCCACCTCACCCTGACCATAAAGTCTCCCTGTTACTTCATAACTTATATAAGAAATCACTGAACTTGACCAAAAAGGGCAAACTCCTAGCCCAACTTTTTGTTCATCCCACAAGCAAAAGTAGTGCTAAACGAGGCCTCAGCACCTCCTCCGATTGGGGAAACAAATCGGGCCCGCCCCCCCCCCCCCCCCCCCGTCTCCGCCCTCAAGATGCTAGATCTTCCTAAACTCTGCGCAGAGGTGCCTGAAACCGGGAGCGACTGAGGCTGAACCAAAGCTCCCCGGCTGAGAAGGGTCCAGGCCCCTCCTCGCCCACCGGTGTCAGACACCACCCCGCAGACCCCCAGCCTCCAGGTTACTGCTCCTACTTGTTTCCACCGTCTTCAGGAGCATTTGCTGGCACTTCTGGTTATGGGTGATGAAGCTGGAAAAGAACCCTTGTTGGGGATTCCCCTGGGCCAGCCGTTCCGGGAAGACTTGGCACGAGACTTGGGGCTGCTGCAGCTGCTCCCCTGCTGCGGGGCCAGTTTGGCGCTGGTCCGGAGCTCCCGCCATGCCGCTGCAGACTTTGCAGCAGCTTCCTCCAGATCCAACTCCGGTGTGATACAGGAAAAGGTAACCTCGCTGCAACCAACCCCACGGTCCGGGCCCCTCCTCCCCAGAGCCAACCAGCAGCTAAGCAGGACGGTGGACGTTGGGCTGCAGGGTTGCTGAGCCCGGATAGGGACGCCGAGCGGGGCGTGGCTACAGCCTCTGGGCGGGGCGAGAGGCCCTACGCACGGCCAGGGGTTCGTGCAGGTGGGCGGAGCTGGGACTGACGGCTGCCCTCCCAGGCAGCACTCGGGATACTCACGATTCGCAGTTGCCCGTCGGTGTAGGTGGCTGGTCCCCAAAAGCACCTTTATGAAGTTTTCTGTTGCCTCCTTCCTCTCTTCCTGGCCAACACTGGTCACTAAGTCCCTTTCTGCCGCTGAAGGCCTCTACGAATCCTCCCACTCCCTACCTTGCCCAAGGAAAGGCCAGTTGCTATCTCTTGTCCACGTTTTCTGACTCCTGCGGTCCCTCTGATCCACTCTACAAACTATGCCCAGACCATATTGAAAACAGTGCCTTTCAGGAGCGTTTGAAAATCTTGATTTTCAAACATTTGATTCCAAAGAATGATTTGTCACATCAAAGGCCTCAAGATATGGAACCCAACTCCTTTTTTTCTGGCTCATCTGGACCCATTCGTCTACCCTACTCTCTCGCCACCCCAAATAACTCTGCGATAACAAAACGCTGTTTACTTCTACCTCCAAGCCCGAACTCATCTTGTTACTCCTATTTTTAAGCCCTTTTTTTTTTAAGTCCCCATGATTTAAAGCCCAGGTCAAAACATGTCTTAGACATTAATCTAAGTTAATGTCTCCAGAACTCCCAAAGTACAAAGTACTTCATATTGTTACTGCTTTCATCACAACAAGCCAGGTTTTATCTAATTTGTGTGTTTTTCTTTTCCCGTTAAATTATTCAGCTCAGCTCACACATTTATTCAACGCCACTACAATGGTCCTGGCAGAATGGAGAGCCTGAGGAAACAACCTAGGTGTAGGAGCACACTTCTGTAATCCTAGGTATTCTGGAGACCGAGGCAGGAGGACTGCAAATAGAGGCCAGCCGGGGCAACTCTATGAGGCCCTGTGTCAAAATAAAAGGATGGGGATGTAACTCAGTAGGAAAGCACCCCATGGTAAGCTACCCAAGGTAGAAGAGAGGGGAGGAGAAAGGAGGGAAGGAGAGAGGAGAGGATCCCCCTAAGGAAACAAAGATGAATAAAACTGGTGAAAGTGAGGAGCAGCTTAAGACTTACACAGGAAATATATCTAAATAATATAGGGTTACAAGGCCTTGAGAATTATAAACAGTGCCTTGTGTCATAGTTGCTCAGTGAATATCTAAATTTAGTGGGATGCTAACATTACTCACATTTAAAATATTATAAAAACATGAACACCGCTTATGAACAGACTTCTGAAGCTATAAGTAAAAAGAAAAAGTAGATACTGTTTATTGAGCTCACCTTGGATACATTATTTCTAATTCTCGCTACAACCCTTCAAAAATATGTAATATTATCTCTAATTTGCAGGTAAGGGTACTTCCCTTTGTAAAATAAAATAATTTATCTAGGACCACACAACCACTTTTCAATCCTGTTATAGAACTAAAACACACACATACAGAAAATTAAATCATTACAATTCAGTGTGATTAACCTGGAATATTGAAGGAAAGAGAATGTAGGGCCTAAAATGGACTATAGCTGTAAACATTTGAAATACTATTTAAAAGATTATCCAGCTACATGAATAAGCAAAACATGCAAATTAAGAGCCACTAAATTTCCCTACCAAATTAGCACTTTTCAATACTCACTGCTAAAGTAACAGAGTAAAAAATTATACCAAAATACCAGTGGTCATATAAGTATTAAAATTTTTATTATATTATTCTGAATTTTCCTCAATTCTATTATAAGCATAAAAATGTTTTTCTAATTAGTGGGGGGGGGGGGGGTTGGTGGTTTTGGTTTTGGTTTGTTTGCTTTGGTACTGGGGATTCAACCCAGAGGCGCTTTACCACTGAGCCATATCCCCAGCCCTTTTTATTTTTTTTAGATAGGGTTGCTTAGGGCCTAAACTGCTGAGGTTGGCCTCCAACTTGTGGTCCTCCTGCCTTAGCCTTCTGAGTCATTGGGATTACAGGCCTGAGCCACCGTGCCAGACTTGAGTGGGCTTTGGATGCCAAATGTCCAACTTCATCCACATACAGTAAAAGGACACACAGGTGGAATGAGAAGGCATCAGAGAAGAAAGTACAAATTACAAATGAGTTTAAAAGACAAAAATAATTACCACTAAGAAATGAGAGTGTGGGCAGATTTAGCTATAAAACTTTTCATTTCTCCATGGTAGCACTAAGTAAAACAAAAAAAGGACAGAAATGCTCAAATGTCCAATAAGAAGTATAATGTAAACGAGTGCCTTTTAATAAAATACGGTCATTAAAAGCTTTTCAAGTTACAAACAGTACATACAGTGTGATTGCCTTTTCAATTTTTAGTTACTGTATGCATAGTAGTGGAAAACTCCATAGTGTTCGCAGCGGTTGTCTCTAAGTTGATGAGATTTAAAGGTCTTGTGTTAGGGTTTTTGTTTTGTTTTGTTGTCTTCATTTTCTTATCTGAACCCCCCCCCCCAAGTACTGGGGGATTGAACCCAGGGACTCTCTCACTGAGCTATATCCCCTGGCCATTTCTTTTTATTTCAAAATAGGTCTAGCTAAATTACACAGGCTGGCCATCCAGTTCAGCCTCCCGAGTAGCTGGGTGTACAGGAGTGCACCACCATGGCGCCAGGTGCTTGCCCTCATTTGTTTGTTTGTTTGCTTTAATATTTTAAAAATAGCTATTCAACCATGAAGTACTTTAGCAAAGTCCTATAAAAATTCTAATTACTGTTGCCAAAAGGAGAATGCTGAACAAATGATGTTTGTGGACTAAAAATCCTTTTATGGAACTCATTAGTAATATAAGACACAAAAATATTTATGATGTCGTAAAACTGCTGGAAAAAGCATGGCATATTCAGTACAATTCAGTGTTTATTTGGTCCTCATTTTCTAAAGCAAAAATAAATGCTTTTTATAGGAAATTAAGTTGTTCAATTCTATCTCATTAACAAATGAAGTTACATATAGTTTTAAAGTGTTTACCCTCTTCCAGCTTTTTAACATTTAATGCTGTTTCAACTCATTTTCAATTGACAAAAAGTGCACATATGGTGTTCGACATATTTTGAAATATATATACACTGTGGAATGGTTAAATCAAACTAATTAAAATATGCACTTTGGAATGGTTAAATCAAACTAATTAAAATATGCACTTTGGAATGGTTAAATCAAACTAATTAAAATATGCACTTTTTAAAATAACTAACACCTAACCCACTTATTGAGTCAACAAAATTCCGAAAGATTATTACGTTTCCTTATCTTTCCAGTCACTTTCAACGTCAGGAAAGAAAACATACCCCGCCGCCCTTCCTACGAATACGCCACGACTCCACCTTATAATAACCCCAGCCCTCCAGGAATCGCCCCCGGAAGACCAACAGGCATCTACTTCCGGAAGAAGTCACGCCTCCGACCCCGGAAGTGAGTGAGCGAGAAGGCGTGCGGCATTCTGGGAAAAGTTAAGAAGGCGGGAGTGGGGTTGTGGGTGTTACCAGGGCAACCGGATGCGACTGACAGTTGTCTGCGGTTTGGAGCGTTTGGCAGAAAAGGTTGGGATGCTCAGAGGTCTTTAGGGATGAGCAAAAGGGCCAAGAGAGCCCTCCTCAAAGAAGATCATCCAATCGGGAGGTTACCGGGTCGCGTTTCACCGCGGGAGTGCTGGACTTGGGAATCTGGGTCGCGCCCTCTTTTGAGTATTGAGGCGAAATGAAGTTCAGTCCAGTGGCTTCTCCCTGTCCTTTCTCTAGTTTTCCGCTTCCTTTTAGAAAGTGAGTTGAGAATTTCTAAACTACATCATAATGTGTTTTAATGTGAAAGTAAGTTATTCTTGTTTTTGTAACTATGGAAATTTTTAAAAAGAAAAAAATAATTTATCAGTAATCCAGCTATCAGAAGTAGCTTAAATTTTTAATGTATTACCTATCAATTTTTGTTCTCTGCCTAAGGTTTGTTTTTTGTTTGTTTGTTTTTTTACATAGTCAAATTGACTTGGCGAAAACCATTTTGCTTTTTTCAATCTATGAATGATATTAATTGTGATGTTAAAAATCTTAGCAACAAGAAGGTATTGAGGCCTTAATGTAAATCTGTTCGCAGTGAGTTTGGATGCAGAATGTGAAGACAATTCTTTCAAGAAGTTTGTCTGTAAAGGAAAAGAGAGAAGGTTAGTAGCCAGAGGAGAATGGCAAGTGAAAGAAAGAAATTGGAATTTTCCCGAATAGGAAAGAGACTTACTGATGTGTATTAATACAAGAGGAAAAAAATTGGTAACCTGGAAGAGATTAGATACTGCCAAAAAGGAGGATAACTGACTGACTAACTCCCTAAAGAAACAAGAGGAGGAGCTGGAGTTGTAGCTCAGCGGTAGAGAGCTTGCCTCATATGTGTGAGGCAATGGGTTTGATTCCCAGCATCACATATAAATAAGCAAATAAAATAAAGGTCCATTAACAACTAAATATATATATAAACAAGAGGAAATGAGATCCATAGATCAAGTACATAAATTGATTGGAGATAGAACTTGGTAGGAGGATGTCAAAGTGGGCATGACTGTTCAGAATTAAAGAACTATTACAAATTGGCAAAAGAGTAACAAAAATATATCAAAATATAGTCTGGTGTAGTGGTGTAGTCCCAGCTACTTGGGAGGATGAGAGTCAGGATCACTTGATTCCACAAGTTTGAGACCAACAGGGCACTGGTCAACATAGTAAGACCTTGTCTCAAAAAAGAAACACAAATATGCACACACAAGAGCTATAGATGCACATATCAAGCTGAATTATTAGTAAATGTAAATGTCACATTAAGTGCCTGTTAAATTGTCAGAGATTAAAAAGAAAATGTGTGTTGGGCAAGGATTCAGTGGAACAGGCATTGCAGGTGGGAACAGAAATTGATACCCCCAGGAATTTTAGAGCTATC